TCCCATCTGAGTAAATGAAGTGAGAGAATCACTTCAAAACTTAGTAGCGTGAAACTACCAATTTCATATTCAGCGAAACCCTGTAGGAATGGGCCTTCCATGCTCACTACATCAAAAGCTATAGCTTACTAGCGCTTCTCTTTTGTTCATAGAGTTTCCCCCCTATTTTGGAAGTGGATGATCAGTACTGCTTCCTAGCATGTCTAATCTAGGTGCTCTGCTGCAGCTTGTCCACCATGGCTGACCTTTCTGGCATTTGACACACTGGTGGCATAGTTTCCAGCATCACAGCAACGCATAAGCTACACCAGTACAGTGGACTGACAGACAAGTGCTGTACTAATAAAAGGAATCAGTAAAAAAGCAAGGATATAGGCACTGAGCTATAAAAATAATTGTTGTTGCTGTGTGCCATTGAATCAGCACCTGCCCATAGGTGACCTACCTGCAGGTTTTCAGAGGTAGTAAATCGCAGTGTTCAGCCTTTTCTCCATCTATCCTGATGATGCCTGTTGGTCCAGTGGTGAGAATTTTTGTTTTCTTGATATTGAGATGCAGTCCATATTGAATGTGTGGTTTAACTCCTCCAGCAAGTGATTCAAGTCCTCCTGACTTTGAGGAAGTCAGATTGTATCATCTACATAATGTTGGTTATTGATGAATCTTGCTCCAATCCTGATGCCATATTGTTCTCCACAGAGTCTAACTTCTTGAATAATTTACTCAGCATACAGGTTAAATAGGTATGAAGAAAGAATACAACCCTGATGCACACTTTTACTAATTTTAAACCATGTCGTGTTCCATTATTCTGTTCATATATTAGCCTTCTGGTCTAGTTATAGTTAATTGTGTTCTGAGATTCCCGTTCTTCTCAACATTAGCCATAATTTGTTGTGCTGTGCACAATCAAATGCCTTTGCATAGTTAATAATGCCCAATATAGACATTCTTTTGATATTCTTTGCTTTCATCCAGGATCCAGCAAGAGGCAAACAAAGTAAGGGAACACTACATCATTTAATATTAGGAAAGGTGTTTAATCTATATGGTGAGCAAATTATTCAGGAAGCTGGACTCTATGAAGAAGAATAAAGCATCAGGATTAGAGGAAGACTCATCAGTAACCTAAATCATAAAGTAATTAGCAGAATGCGAATAGATCCTCGATATAATGAACAATGAGATAAGTGTTGTACTTCTAACAGCAAACTGTAAAGACAGTCAGGCATTCAAATAGCATAGCACAGGACACCCTTTTGGTCCCAATTGACGCCCTTGGTAACGTGGCAGGACCGAGTTCTGGATTTAGATATTTGGCTGAGAGTGGGCTGTGTCTTTGGTCCTGGTGATTGACATGAGGCCACTGCAAGGCTTAAAATCAGGAAAGATATATGCCATGGTGCATCCTTACTCCCTACCTATTCAGTTTGTATACTTAGCAAATAATTCATGTGCTGAACTCTATGAAGAAGAATGTGGCATAAAGATCAGAATTATCAATAGCCTGCATTATACAGAAGACACAGCCTTGTTTGCTGAAAGTGAAGAGAACCTGAAACACTTGCTGTAAAGAACAAAGACTACAGCCTCCAGTATGGACTACCTCTCAACATCAAGAAAACAAAGGTCTTTACCATTGGGCCAAAAAGACAGCATCATGATAGAGGATTGGAACTGTCAATAATTTCGTCTTAGATCCACAATCAGCACCCTTGATACCAGCAGTCAGGAGATCCTGGGACATATTTCACAGGGAAATCCCACTATCAGGGACCTCTCCATAATTTTGAAGAGCAGTGATATCTATTTGAAGACTCATCTGCCTCTGATTCAGACCATGGTCTTTTTAGTCACTTGCTATGTATGCATCTGAGAGCTGGACAGTGAGTAAGGATGAAAGAAGAAGAATTGCTGCCTATAAGTTTTGGTGTTGGAGAAGAGTACTAAATACCCCGTGAACTGACAAAAAACAAACAGGTATGTCCTGGAAAAAGTGCAGCATTTTGGAAAAAGTGTAGCCAGAGTTCTCATTGAAGGCAAGGATGCTGAGGCTTTAGCTCCCATATTTGGACGTGTTGCTAGAGAAGGCTAATTCATGATTGGAAAGAAATAAAAGAATACCCTCAATGATTGGCATGATGATGGCAGCAATAGGATCAAGTGTATCAGAGATGATGAGGCTAGCACAGGATAGGAGAGGATTCCGGTCTGTTGTTCAGATGATCACTATGAGTCCTAGTCAAGTCGACAGCACCTAACAGCAGCAGCAACCTATTCCTTTAGCCTGTAAAACACTCCATCACTGCCTTTGAAATCATGTCTAGTTATCAAAACTTAAATTTCTTTGTTACATACTCTGTAACCTCAATCAGAAGTGATGTTTGTTAGCTAGATTTATAATTCCTTGTTTATATCACTTGACTATTACTTCTTTTTTGTCTTTCTTTTAAAATTATAATTTTAATGATAGTTTATGGGAAACTTGGGTTTTCATTTATAGTTGCACATTTTCCTCCATACCCTCTCCCATTTCACTTTAAATATATGTGTGTGTGTGTGTGTATGTATACACATACACATATATTCATTTTTTATTTAAGCCTCTTGTTTAGAATCAACAAGACCTCGGGGAGAGTCTTTGTATTTAAAAGTCAGTTGTTACTATGTTTTGGAGCAACATTCTTCTAAGTGGTACAGCATTCTTTTGCCAATATGCTATATTGAGGTAACTTGGGGTAGCTGTGATGCTGAACCTTGGGTGTCAAATGCCATAACTGTTACCCATGGTGAACAGTGTTTGGTGGAGCTCCAAGTTAAAAGACAGGTTTGGAAGCAGGAGTGGCATCCACCTCCTGAACAACATGCCTCTGGAAACTCTATGAACTTTGAGAAAAGACAATAGTTATAGAAAGGCTTCAGGTCTTTTGTTCATAGGGTCGTTATGAGTTGTGCTCAGCTTGATGGCAATCAGCAGCAGCATTCACTGTTGCAAATTTCTTCCCTCCTCTTCTCCCTCCTCCAGTCCACTTTGCTGTGCACCTCTATTCTGAACTGTTGTAATACAGATAATGCCTAATTATATATTCCTTTTAAACAAAAGTTCTTTCCTTCATCTGGTCCAATATAGTTTCCATTATTTATCTTCTCTTTGCTTAAATTTCCCCCTTATCTCCATGTTAGTCCTGTTTTATAATAGTGGTATTTGTCCTCTTGTGACTGAGATATTTCACTGTACATAATGTCCTCCAGGGTTACCCATGTTGTGTATATTTTATTAATTATTTGTTTTTTCAGTGCTGTGTTGTATTCCCTTGTGTGAATATACCACAGTTCTTGTAAACATTCATTTGTTGATGGGTACTTGGGTTGCTCCCATTTGTTTGCTATTGTGGAAGGTGCAGCATGTATCTTGGGTGTGCATGTATCTGTTTTGGTGGCAGCTCTGGTTTCCTTAGGGTATATTCCCAGTAGGGGAATTAGTGGGGCAAATGGTATTTCTATTTCCAACTTTTTGAGAGAATACCATAATGGTTGCACCATTTTACACTCCCACCATCAGTGAATAAGAGTTCCAATCTTTCCAAAGCCTTGTCAGCATTTGTTGTTTGGTGCTCTGTTGACCTTTGTTACTGTTACTGGGGTGAGATGATATCTCATAGTTGTTTTGATTTGCATCTCTCTAGGGATTTTGAACATTTCTTCATGTGTGTGTTTGTCATTTGAATGTTTTCTTTGGTGAAGTGTCTATTCATATCCTGTGTCCATTTTGCGATTGGGTTGTTTACGTTTTTCTTGTTGAGGTGATAGAGTATTCTATAAATTTTATATATGAATCCCTTATCATATGTGTCATTACCCATATATTTTTCCCAGTCTGTGAGTTTCCTTTTTACCCTGTTGGAGAAATTTTTTGGATGTGTATAGGGTTTTGATTCTTAGAAGGTCATCTATTTTATTTCTTCCTGGTTATAGGTTTTTCAGAATGCTGTGAGATTATTCATATTGTGGATTAGGGCTTCTAGAGTTCTTCCAAGCTTTTCTTTGATGGAGTTTATAGTCTTTGATTTTACTCCTTGGACTTTCATCCATTTTGGTTTTTGTTAATGGTATGAGCTATGGGTCTTGCTTGAGTTTTCTACCAATGGTTTTCCAATTTTGCCAACGCTATTTGTTAAAGAGACTTTTGTTTCCCCACTTAACTGATTTCATCTCCTTGTCAAAAATCACTTGACCATAGGTAGATGAGCTAATTTCTTGGTTTTCAATTCTGTTCTATTGATCTGTGTGTCTTGTTTCTTTACTAGGACCACATTGTCTTGACCACTGTGGCTGTGTAGTAGGATTTGAGATCAGGGACTGCGATGTCTTCTACCTTGTCTCTCTTTCTTAGGAGTGCTTTACTTATTCCAGGTTTATTTCCATTCCAGATAAAATTGGAAATTGCTTTTCCCATCTCATTGAAGAATGGAATTGGTATTTGTATTGTGATTGCATTGAACTTGTAGAGTACCTGAATTGTCATTTTTACAATATTGAGTCTTCCTATCCATCAACAACAACAACATCAATGAGCATGGGGTATTCTTCCATTTCTCCAAAGGGTTCACAGCTCAGCTACTGGGAGGGGCCAGGGTGCAGAGGTGGTGTTCCGGAAGGAAATGGCTTCAGCTGTAGAGATGGCTTGTAAATTAGCAGCCTTCTCAACTAGGCAATAGCCACAACTAGGTGGGGTCAAAACTGTTTCTTCATTATTTTTATGATATTTGTTTGTATTAGATGTTTAGTTGCTTAAGTTTAAAGAACATATTTTGATCATCTTTGTATTATATTACAGTGCTAACCATGAAGTAAATAAATATTGGCTGAATTAGTTGATTACACATTTGTACTCCAAATTATTACTTAAATAGAAGATCATTTTTGCATTGCATCTAAGTTGATTTTAAAATGTTACTTTATTAACCTCTTTCTACTGTGATTTTTTTTTTGTCACATAGGTATGGGATGAATTGCCTTATTCAGTTTGAAGATTTTGCAAATATGAATGCATTTCGTCTCCTGAACAAGTATCGAAACAAGTATTGCACCTTCAATGATGATATTCAAGGTAACACATTTTTACTGCATATAAATGAAAAAAAAACATGGTCTCACATAGCTCATAATTTTATGATTCATATTTAATAAATAAATGCCAGGATAATACTTGCTGCTTTGCCACATTGCTTCTCATTTCATTTCATACTTCTATTATTGGATAGTTCTAAAATGTTCAGTGTCACCAGAGAAGGAGCTCAAAAAAAATCTGGTGATATCCCCAGTAGTTAGGATTTTTAAAAAAACTAAATACATATAAATGTATTATTAATTGCTCAAAAGTACAAACATATATACTTCTCTCTTCAGTCTTATATCAGTCAGCCATAAGTGGTGATTAAAAGAACCTTGACATTCCCTTGAGTTTGGAATATAGTTATAATAAGGGCCGTAGAGAATGGGAATGATAGGATCTTTCCAATCATGAATGAGATATTCTGATGTATTACTTCTTAAAAAGATTCATTCTGGGTGATGACATGCATTAGGATGAGATCTAGGAGAAAGGTAGTCAGGGGAGTAAAGCTGAATGTCACCAGAAACCAGGTGGTCAAAGAAAAGCTCAAATATAGAATGAGGATGATAATTTTTCTCCTATAGAGTTTTGATTGATGAAAAAAATAAGAAAATTATAGTGAAAATACTCTATCAATGGAAATGTACTTTATAAATAAAACTTGTACCCTTTTCTCTGCTTTGGGATTTCAGTGAGACATGTTGTTGTTGTTATAGGGTCCAGAGTGTCAGCTCTTACTCAGGGTAAAACCCTTCCCAACCTTATGACATCCTCACAGTCTGAGCATAATGGATTTCAAAATTATGACCTTATTTATACATTTTGAAACACATTGAAATAATTGGTTGAATCTTTTCTCCAAATCCTTTGGTTTTAATTACATTGTGCCTAGTACCCATTTTCCTGGCAATCATCCTTGTTGTTATGTGCAGTCGAGTCGCCTGCTACTCATAATGACCCCATGTACAACAGTCCTAAACCCTGCCCTATCTTGTGCCAATCGTATTGTCTCTGACACGCCTATCCATATTATCCCAGTGCCCGAAACAATCTATCTTATCAAGGGTCTTCCTGTCCTGTACTGTCCCTCCACCGTCCCAAGAAAGACGTCCCTCTCCAAGGACAGATCCCTCCTTGCAACATGTCCAGAGTATGTCAGACGGAGCTTCAGAATCCTTGCCTCTAAGGAACAGCCTGAATTCACCCTCTCCTGGATGGACTTGTTTATTCTCTTAGCAGTCCATGGTATATTCAATTCTATTCTCCAGCACCACAACTCAAAGACATCAATTCTCCTTCTATCATCCCTAGTCATTGTGCAGCTCTCTGATGTATAGCAAGTAACTGCAAAGACTATGGCTTTTATCAGGCGCACCTTAGTCTTCAGACTGACACCGTTGCTCTTCACTACTCTGGAGAGGTCTCTGACAGCAGACTTTCCCAATGCAATTCATCTTTTAATTTCCTGGCTGCTGGTACCAAGAGTGTTGATTGTAGAGCCTAGCAAACTTAAATTACTTAAACTTCGCTTCCTTTATGTTTGGATTAATCATCATTATTAATATATTATTTTTTTTACAAAATGACGCCAGAAAGAAAAAGAAAGTTTCCAGATGTTTTGAATTGTAAATGACCCACTTCTAACTTGACCACACTGTGCTTAGTGACAGAGAGCCTTTGTGCTACAGACATCAGAGACCAGCTTCTCTAACTCAGTTGTCAGTTTCTTTTGCAGTAATTTCCAAAGTAGCCACCAGTAAACACCTGAATAATGCCATACCAGCTCTTTAGCTCTTTAGTATTCTGTATCTTTATTTTGTGGAAGTCCACACAGAAGTTAAAGATCATGTTATGTAACTTTGAAGAGTTATAGTATAAATAACACATTTTTAAGATTATCTTCCTTAAAATAATCTTAAATCATATAGATTTAAATCATATTAAATTTAAATATTTAATGCTTTACTGTATTTTTTACAAATTATTTTAATTTGGAAAAAGTACACATTAAATAGAAATAATTACTACCCATAAATGGGCCATTTATTTATGTAATTTGAGATCAGAGGAATTTTGTAAATTTAGATCAAAAAAATAAAATACCTATCTCTAGTCTTTTAACATCAGCTAAAAGAAATCTTTTCTTCTCCTGAGCATATTCCTCAGGAATGGCTATTCTCTAGTTACATCCTTGATATATTACACTAGGAAATTTTATCTATAATAATTTTATTCAGTAAGCATTTGTTTACAAAAAGATCAAATCAGGCATGGTTGACTAGATATTCCACAAGAGGAAGAATGCCATTGCCCAGTAACCATGTTCTTTCAAAGTTTATTATTTTTATGTGCCATGAGTTAGTTCATTTAAAGCTCATGAATAGAGCAGGAAGCAGTTCTAACAGTTTGAGAAGACGCAGCATGACTTAAAATCTGGAAATATGTGCATCATAGTGGCTTCCATTTTCTGTACCTATTCAATTTGTATGCTAAGCAAATAATGTGATAAATTGGATTGTATAAAGAAGAACATGGTAGAATAGTGGAAGATTCATCCACAACCTGCATTATGGAGATAGCACAGCCTTGTTTGCAGAAAGTGAGGAGGTTGTGAAGCAGTTACTGAAGATACGAAAGATGACAGCCTTTAATATGGATTACACCTCAGCATCAAGAAAACAAAAAGTCCTCAGCACTGGACCAGGAGATGCATAGATAGAAAAAAGATTGAAGTTGCCAAGGGGTTTTTTTGTTGTTGTTGTTGTTGTTGTGGAACCACAATCATAACACCAGAAGGCAAATTCCCCAGTTCCAACCTTTTAGCGATTTACTTCAAGAGAATCTGAAGTAGACTGAAATACTGATTTTGAACAACTATTTGAATGACTATTTAAGATAGTGTGATGATTAAAAAATGTTCCTGCTAAACAGAAGGTCAGAAGTTTGAACCTACCACCTGCTCTTGGCGGAAGGATGAGAGGCTCTGGCTCCACAGAGATTCTAGCCTTGGAAGCGCTGGGCAGTCTTTCTGTGTCTTACTCCGCTGCTAGAGTAGGAGATCAACTTGATGGTCATCATTTGCTTTCAAATGACTAGTTAGCCACACTTATTTCTATAGTTTAAAACTTCTAGTGAATTAGTCTTCATTTTTCAGACAAATTGTCTAATCTTCTCAGGTGATCTTCTTGTTGTTGTTGTTATGTGCCATCGAGTCACCTGTGACTCATAGAGGCCCTGTGTATGACAGCCCTAAACACTGTTCTATCCTGCGCCAATCTCATTGCCTCTGACTCATCTACCTCCATTACCCGAGTCACTAAATCAATCCACCTCATAGAGGGTCTTCCTCTCCTGCGCTGTCCCTCCACTCTCCCAAGCATGATGCCCCTCTCCCGCCTTGCAACATGTCCACAGTATGTCAGATGAAGTTTCGGAATCCTTGCCTCCAAGAAGTAGCCTGGTTTAACCCTCTCCAGGACAAACCTGTTCATTTTCTTAGCAGTCCATGGTATGTTCAATATTCTTCTCCAACACCACAGCTCAAAGGCATCAATTCTCCTTCTATCATCCTTTGTCATTGTCTGGCTTTCTGATATATAGCAAATGATTACAAAGACCGTGGCCTGCATTACGCGCACCTTAGTCTCCAGACTGACATCATTGCTCTTTAATACTTTAGAGAGGTCTCTACTAGCAGACATTCCCATCGCAATACATCTTTTCATTTCCTGGCTGCTGGTGCCAAGACTGTTGACTGTGGAGTCAAGCAAACTAAAGCTGTTAACAATCTCATTCTCTTCACCATCTATCATGATGCTGTCAATTGACCCAGTGGTGAGAATTTTGCTTTCCTGATATTCAGCCTAAATCCATATTGAAGGCTGTAGTCCTTGACCTTCTGCAGCAAGTGCTTCAGGTCCTTCTCAGTTTCAGCAAGCAGGGTTGTGTTATCTGCATAACGAAGATTGTTTATAAGTCTTCCTCCAATGCTGATGCCACACATTTCTCCTCATAGAGCACAGCCTCCCAGATAATCTGTTCTGCATATTGAAGAGATATGGAGATAGGACACATCCCTGGCATACACACTTCTCAATTTTGAATCATGCAATGTTTTCTTGCTCTGTTCTGACGACTGCTTCCTGGTCCAAGTATAGGTTTCACATTAGCATGATTAAGTGTTCTGGGATTCCCATTCTTCTCAGAGTTAGCCACAGTTTGTTGTGATTCACACAGTCAAAAGCCTTTGCATAATCAATGAAACACAGATAGACATTCTTTTGGTACTCCTTGTTTTTAGCCAAGATCCGCCTAACATTAGCTACTAGTACTAGTACTATGACCCCTTCTAAGCCCAGCCTGCACTTCTTTTGATGTGCTGTTTCAGTCGTTTTTTGGATAATTTTCAGCAGAATCTTGCTTGCATGTGATATTAATGATACTGTTAGATGATTTCCACACTCGGTCGAATAACCTTTCTTTGGAATGGGAACAAATATAGATCTCTTTCAGTCACTTGGCCAAGTGGTTGTCCTCCAGTTTTCTTGGCATAACTTGGTGAGCACATCTCGGGCAGCATCTGTTAGTTGAAATATGTCAATTGGTATACCATCAATTCTTGGGACCTTATTTTTTTGCCACCTGTTTCAAAGCAGCTTGAACTTCCTCCTTGCTCTTATGTTGCTTCATAAAATTCCTCTGTGCCTGCCAATTCCTTTTAGTATAATGATTCTGCATGCTCTTTTTATCTTCTTTTAACACTTCCAGGATCATTTACTATTCTGTCCAAAACATCATTAAATATTGAAACTTGAGGCTTGAATTTGTTCTTCAGTTCTTTAAGCTTAAGAAATGCTGAGCGAGTTCGAATCATTTGATTTTCTGACTTCAACTCTTTGCACATTTCATTATAATACTTTACTTTGTCTTCCCACGTTGCTTTTTGAAATCTTCTGTGCAGCTGCTTAATCTCTTCATTTCTTCCCTCTGCTTTG